TAAATAAAATCATGAAGGTCCATCAGTGTATACATGTTTTATTTAGATTTTATTTTTTCTCTATAGGCAAAAGGGGCCCTTTGAAAAACTTTGATTAGGACTTTAAAAAAAAAGAAAAAAATAGGATCAGGTTGTCATTTAAAAAATATTACTCTGGTAGGAGAGACTAGAGGAAAGAAAGGTTGTGAAATAGTCAAAGAAAGGAAGAGATAAAACACTTAAGGAAAGCAATCCCAGTGCAATGGGGATGGAGAAACTAGATGTGGGAGGAACTTAGGATGCAAGGCAACAGAGCCTGCAGGATGGGGCTTAGGATATTTAGGGATATTTGAAGATATGAGATAGCAGGTAGGTTCAGGCCTGGGACCCTGCTAAAGGGTCACAGCATTACCTGGGACTGTGTGTGGCAGAGGAGTAGAGAAGCTGAATGCAGTGGGTCCCCTGGAGTTTATCCACCTTTTAATTATACTATTTTAACACCAATTATTTGTTTGAATTATTGGCCTGTATGGATCGCTATGAGTCGGGGCCGACTCGACGGCAAACAACAACAACAACAACAACAATTTATATACAACCTTATTTTGTTAATAATGTCTATCTTAGTATATATTCACTTTTCAGCAATTCTGCAAGCTACTGGAAGGCCGAAATATTAATTTAAAACTTTGCTTAGCCCAATGGCTCCATGGGAGAAAGACCTGGTGATCTGTAGCTAAAAAGACTGTTGTCATTGCTGTTAGGTGCCATCAAGTCATCTCTGACTCACAGTGACCTCATTTACAGCAGAATGAAACAATGCCTGGTACTCTTCTTTTCTGTTTTCTTTGAGAGGCTTCCTAATTATCACTTTCCTCCTCCTAGTAGGCCTTTTATCCCTCTAATGTTTATATTTCTTTACAATCATTGTGGTTTTTTTTTTTTCATTTAGCATCAAAAGTCCCTCATTATGTATCAATGCCTTCATTTATTATGATTTCTCTTTCAATCTTTGAAAGTCATGATGTATCAAATGAATATATTTGGAAGGAAATAGAGGTGACATGACAAGTGCAGAAAGGTAGTTGATCCTTAAAGCCAGACTCCCCCCATGCCAAGCTGTGTCTTTTAGTGCACTCATCTCTTTCATGTTGACTCTCCCATTCTGTCTTTCAGTTGGGCTGCTCTTCGTATAAAATATTTTGTAGCGATAGCCAGAAGTACCTGAAGGAAAATTGAAATCTGGTCTTTGTTTTACAACGAATCTACTAGAGGACACTGCTCAATATCATTGTAGTTGTTTCTGTGCTTCCTGATCTGGAAAAGAAGTCCTAGGAAATAGATAAACTTAAATGGATAAGCTAGAGGGAGCGAATCATACTGGGAAGAATTGCACTCTGCAAACATAAAACATTATTGTTCGATTTTCAGCCCTTACTACTCCTCAAGCACACTTATCCTTCTTTTAGTTTCATTAACAGAAATACAAGGAAAAGCTGAGAACTGGAAACATAAGTAAGGGAAAAGTACAGAGTACTAAGTAGAGCATATAATAACAGAAGGCTAGAAATAGTCATAAAAGAACAAAGTTGCACAAAGGGTATTGCCAGAACTATATGCATACAGCCTAGTCCACTGTAACAACTTCTTAAAACACAAAAAAAACTAAACCCACTGCCATCCAGTTGATTCTGATTCATAGAGACCCCCATTGGTTTTCTGAGGTGGTAAATCTTAATGGAAGTAGATTGCCCAGTCTTGCTTCCACGGAGTGGCTGGTGGGTTTGAACCATCAACCTTCTGGTTAGCAGTCAGATACCTTAGTCACTGTGCTACCAGAGCTCTTTACAACCTCTTATCTGGGAGTATTTAAGAAATTTAAGAAATATCCTCTCCAAAGTGAAAAAAATGCAGTGTGATTATTAATTTCATTCAACTATCTATGTAAATAGCAATTAAATTACAGGTTTGTTTACTAATCATGGTTATTTCATTAAGGAAGGGCTAAAAGTATATTTAAATATATATCACAAATAAGAAGACAACGTTTCTGAGATTTCAGTGTCAATGAATAAGAAAAGGGATTTCATTAGCCAAGCAATATTTACAGCAATGTATTAAGAACACACTTATTGACACTACGGAAGCTATAAAGACTCGGGATACTAAGCTGTAATTAAAAGCACTGGCTCTAGAGTCAGACAGATGTTGCTTGAAAACATCTGTGTAGCCAGATTTTAGCAAGCAATATATTCATTTCTGTCTCTGTTTCTACGCTGTAAAATTGAAACAATAATACCTAATTTATAAGGATTAAATTTGAGCTTTTGTTTGACTCAGGCACATGGGCTTCTGGGGTGAGACATATTTGCCTTTGCTATGAAACATCATTCCCACAATCCCAAGCCTCTTCCAATTAAAGATATTAAGATGTCAAGTGAATGCCATGACTCATGGTGAGAACTTGGGCACAAGTAGGATGTAAAAGGGCACCATGTCCTCACAAGCAGATTTGACCAGCTTGTGTAATTGGAGTCTGGGACCCTCAGCAAAAGACACTCATATAAGCAATCCACTGCTTCACTTCCTCTAGGCCCATTCCCAGTGGTAAGAGTCACCGCAACTTTTCACCTTAAGGACTTTGAGTAGCATGAAGACAATTGAGGAAATGGCTAAGATATCTTGTTTGTGGTTTGACCTCTCCAAGGCCTGATAATGAAGAGAAATGCCTGATATTGATAAATTATTAATATACTACAATTCACATAGCTCTTCCAAATAAGGCATAAACCTTCTAACATACAGAATATAGAAAAAACTAAATTAAAGCCACTCTCCACTGTTAAAGCATAAATTCTGAGTTCTGACAAAACTTGAGTTCAAATTCAGTCTCTACAGCATCTGAGTGGTCTTTGTGGCCTTACGTGTCTCTGGTACATATCTTACATGTCTATTTCCTCAAGTATAAAATGAAAATGAAAGCACATATTTTATTGTCTTATTAGGTTATAATAAAGGTTACATAAGAAAATTTAGGTAAAGTAGATAGCAGAATGTATGGAACATCTCCAAATCAAACCAAACCCACTAAACTGGAGTCAATCACGACTCATAGTGACCCCATTGGGCTTCCAAGGCTGTAAATCTTTACAGAAGTAGATGGCCTCATCTTCTTCCCATGGAGCAGCTGGTGTCATACCCTGCAAAGTCAGTCCATTTTCCCCCTCTTTGAATGTTACATTGAAAAACCACTTAGCACCTCTCTTCAGTGACACCAATTTTCTTTTATTTACTTGAGATGAAATTAAGGTAGAGGTTAAGGCCAATCTGTAGAAACAACTCAATAACCAGCAGAAAAATGAAACAAACAAAAAAAAAATCAGTCAATAATAATTCCTTACTTATGGGTTCTACATCATGTAGGTTTATTGTGTTTTCATAAAACCAAATTGACTTTTAGTGTTGCTTAAATTCTTCAGTTTTCTATCACTATGTCTTTAGAAACATAGAGTTCTAATGTAACCTAAAAGTTACAGTAAATTGATATTCATTATGGCTAAGTAAGCCTCCACTTAAATTTTTATACCCTTTAAAGATCCATATTGTGTGAAAAATAAGTCCTGCTTTCATTGTGAGCAATGGTTAAAATAATATTCTTTGAGTTTAATTAGCATTTGTTTGAATGATTCAATATGCGTTTAAACCATAAAATGAAACCATAAAATCAAAAAAATGAAATCATATTATTATATTAGGAAAAAAATCCTCCCAGTAACATTAATTGGGTTTTAATAAATAATTTGATTAGGGGTAAAAGAAAGGGGGTCCAAGTTCATCCAATGCACCTTGATGCCAGGGCCCTGGTTTCCGTACAGACATAGCGTTCTCCTGACATAGCACTTTGGACGATGGCTGCATTTCTTAGGAATAATATGTTTTCCACTTGATGAATTATGCACTGCAACCAAAAACATTGCATTCCACTTATTTACTTGTTTTCTCTTTCAAAGGGCTTATGTAAATTTTCTGCAGAAGTCATGGAGGATAATCAACGTGTCATGCATTCATATACGGAAGAAACAGCACAGACAATATGTAGTCCCGGTCTACGTTTGGCTTGGCCGGTTTAATTTCCTATTTCTTCTGTCATAAGTAAGTACTTACACTAAGACTAATCCAGAAATATTAAAATATGGCAGAAGTCCAGGTATAAACCAGGATGTGCTCAAAACAGGATTCAGCCAGGTGTGGAGGGCTGGTGCAGTAGACCTGCCAGGGGACTGGGAAAGAGAAGGCCATCCTACAGAGATGGAATAACTTATCCTCAAAGAGCAGGGAGGAGATCCAGATTCAACTCCAGAATCTGACTCAAATTTGCCATCTGAGGTTGTGAAGAATGGGGTTGCCAAAGACTCATATGTGAATCCTAAGAAGTAGCTAGGGAGTCCTAAGTGTGGGGAGAGTGGCTAGTCACACAGAATTTGAAAATCAAAATCCTAAACTGGCTGATCCTAATGTTTCCACTCAAAATTCTGTAAGACTTTGAGGGGACTCAAAGCAATGTGTGGCCGACAGGGGTGGGAGTTCTTCAAGTACTCCAGTGAGCACTGTGAGGCCTCCATGCGAGGGAGGTCCAGCCTGGGAGGCTGGAGGAACCACTATATTACAATTAATGTGATTCTATTTTAACCTGAAGGAACCCCATACCATCACGTTTGATGACTTGGACAACAAAATCCCAAGAGTTGGATTTCTTTTGTTCTTCCTCTCACCTAATTGATAGGCAGAGAATAGTTCTGATTGAATATTCTACTTAATTATTCTAGCTAACCATGCTGAGGATCAAATCAACATTAACCATTAAAAGGGAGAAAAATGGACAAAACATGACATATAGCCATCTGACTTCAAGCACAAAAGATCACCGTCCATTTAGCTCTGAGCCAGGCAATTACACAGCAACAATACAGGACAACTGAAATAAATCAGAAAATTCGCCAGCCTCTTCCATGTTCACTTACCTTGGTACGGAGAGAAATAGGCAGGGGCAGTAAAATCAACAGGGTGAACACTATTAGAAGAAACCGACGGTAAATGAAAATATAACTGAGGAGTTTCATTGTGCAGAGCAGGTGACTCTGATAGTGTCTTCCTCCAATTAAGGCAGATATTAAATAACCAACCTGGATTAATATTTCTCCAGCCCATCATCTTCATTCACTGCCCTAGACTGACCAACATGAGTTAAAATTAAATCTCCTTTTTTATTGTTTTACTGTCACAATTAACATGGAGAGATAAGCCAAGAGTGTTGGTAAAAAAGCAAAGGCTGTTTGCTCATATAGTGTTGAAAGGTGAAACAGTTCTTTCTCTCTTTCTTTGTTTACATTAACTGGAATACAGACAAGTCTAAGAAAAGGCAAAACCATGAACCTGGTTGACTTTGCCCATAACGAGACCCCCTCCCCCTTTTGATGTCCTGGACTTCCTGACTCTGATCGAGTAGTTACCAGACTGTGGGTAGCACCTCCAGGGAGTCCCTACAGGCTGCTTCGGTGCCCTTTTGAAAGAAACACCTGCTCAGTATATGAATCAAAATAAAAGCCTCAGTAGTAGAAAACCCATGCATGGCAAGTGTGAAAGGGAAAGGATACAAATGACATTTCTAGGGCTTCTCAGAAAAACTGTTGAGGCAGCCTTCTTTACTGCTGACATGCAGGTTGACTCAGAGGTCAGAGATTCCTGACCAGTCTTCTTAAGGAATCCTCTGAACCCATTCAAAAGATAAGGAGATACTGCTTCCAGTATCCAGTAGTGCTTTTCTCCCCCACACCATACACAGTTGAATGATGATTTCTTCACTGTTTGGAAGGAAAAAATAAACCCACACCAGTCTCCCTCAAGTAGATGCTGACTCACGGTGACCCATGTGTCTCAGAAGAAAACTGTGCTCCTGAGGGCTTTCAACCACTGAGTTTTCAGAAGCAGGTCTCCAGGCCTTTCTTTCGAGGGGACTCTCGGTGGATTCAAACTTCCAACCTTTTGGTTAGTAGCCAAGGACTTAGCCATTCGCACCAGCCAGGGACTCCAAGGTTCTGTACTTTTCTTGGCCCCCTACTGTACCTTTTGAGAGGAAAATCAAAGTTACCATACAATCAGTATGTAAGCCCTCTCCTAAAATACTTTTGCAGGCTTGGGTTGGTACTATCGTGTTGATAGTGACTAGCTAATTATTGGGGAATCCACACGGAGATGAGTCATCAGGGCCATCCCAGGGTTGGGTGTATGTGTAGGTGTGGGGACTCTCCTGACGGTGATATAAAAATTCCCCAGGGTTACAGATCCTTTAGGAGCTCTGGTAGCTCTGGTAGTGTAGTGCCTAATTTGACTGCTAACCAGAAGGCTGGTGGTTCAAACCCACCAGCCACTCCTTGGAAGGAAGGTTGGGCAATCTGCTTCCATAGAGATACTGCCTGGGAAACCCAAGGAGGGGTCGCTATGAGTCAGATTCGAGTCAACGGCAGTGAGTTTGCATTTTGGTTTATAGTATGTATGTTATAATATTTAGTTGTCCTTTTTTCTTATGTACTTCTTAGTTTCTTACTAGTTTGGTCAAGTTGTACAGACTTCATCACTATGAGTCAGGATGACTCCGACAGCACATAACAACAACAACAGGGATCCTTTTTTTTTTTCCCTTTGGTTTGTAAATTAATCTTTTGGTTTGTAAATTATCACCCAGTAGGCCTCAAGCAAACAACTATTATGTGCCCAGCCATAGGTATAAATTTTTGAGTAAAACACATTGCCAGTCTTCCTATCATCTCTACTTGTCTTGGCACAAGCCACCACACCAATGGTTATTATTTAGACCTCATTTCTAATACTCCACTAATGTAACTCTAGGGAAACACTCACCATATTGTTAATGGCAATGTGAAAGCATTTTTTCCCTCTGTTGTTGTTGTTATGTGCCATCGAGTCAGACCCAACTCATAGCGACCCCTCCTTGGGTTTCTGAAGCAGTATCACTATGGAAGTAGATTGCCCAACCTTCCTTCCAAGGAGTAGCTGGTGGGTTTGAACCGCCAGCCTTCCATTTAGCAGTCAAGTGCCTTAGGCACTATGCTACCAGAGCTCCCTTTTCCCTCTAGAAATCCAAATTTCTAAAGATAATGTCATAGATAGTGATTAAGGAAAATCAGAGTAGTCAATAGAAAGAATAAAATCTCCAAGCCAGAAAGGCACATTATACCTTGAACTCTCAGATGAAAGAGGGACAGAGTAATTATAAGTATTGATGTGATAAAGAGTGAGCAGTACTAAATAGTGTTAAAAAAATAAATAAATAAAGGAACTAAGTTACTCAAAGCAGTAGCAATATGTACTTATGTTTAGGTTTTCTTTTGCCATATAGAATGCCTTGTACAGTTCATTATATGATTTCTAAATTTTTGTCCTTCACTATTTTGTGAAAAAAACATTTCTGTTCTCAGATTTCCTTAGGCCACCTGGTGAGACCATTTGAGCCTCACTGTCTCATCTCAGAGAATTTTACTTTGTGAGATGACACCAGAAATGAAAAGGCATTTGTGTGACATTTCATGGAAATGAGGGCCTAAATGTGCGGGGAATGGTGGCACTCAAACCAGCCGGAGGCAAATGGAAAAACCCTTAACCTGTGTCAGTGCCTCCTTTCTGTGCCCTGTTTTCCCTATTCTGCTACCGTTTCTCAACACACTAAGGTTTGCCGGACCTCTCTGTGGTTTGGGATTCTTGTCAGCTCAATCTTCTGTGGGTGTCTCCTATTACAAATGGTTTCACCTTGCCTTTGGTTCAGCCCATCTCCTGTTCTCAGTGGTTTTCTCTTCACTTTCACAGATATATGACAAGATAATTCACACTTAACAAGAATGGCTGATAGGAATTGAATGCTTCAGCATGTGTCACCGGGGAATGAAACTAACAGGAGACTCTGGGTCCCTTGGAAACTCATCTTGGAGAAGGGTGTCTCCAAATGGCATTGTATTGCTAACCAGTCCCCATGTCTAAGACAGATGAGCCACATATATCAAATTTCACTTCTTCTGGATGTAGAATATATCTTAATATATCATAACTGTGTTATGTGTTTTCTAGCTGACCTAGAATGAATCATAGCTTTGAATACTCATGCCATCAAGTCAACTCTGACTCATAGTGACTCTATAGGACAGAGTAGAACTGCCCCATAGAGTTTCCAAACCTGTAAATCTTCATGGAAGCAGATTGCCTCATCCTCCTCTTGTGGAGTGGCTGGGGGGATCAAACTGCCCACAAATTGGTTAGCAGCAGAATGCCTTAACCACTGTGTTACCAAAGTTTCTTATGTTGTTATGTTGTTGTTATGTGCCATCGAGTCATTTCCAACTCATAGCGACCCCATGCCCAGCAGAACAAAACACCACCCGATCCCACGCCAGCTCCATGATCCTTTCTATACTTGAGCCCATTGTCGCAGCCACTGTGTCAATCCATCTCGTAAGGCCTTGTTCCCTTCGAACGACAGCCTCCTGGTCAAGGTACAGGTTCCTCATGAGTACAATCAAGTGTTCAGGAATTTCCATTCTTCTCAATGTTATCCACAATTTGTCATGATCCACACAATCAAATGCCTTTCCATAGTCAATAAAACAAAAGTAAACATCTTTCTGATATTCTTTGCCTTGAGCCAAGATCCATCTGACAGCAGCTATGATATC